TTTGATCTCCAAATAGTACAGTCTCATCATTTCAGATGGACTTTTCAGTCTACAGAAATGGAAGCGGAAAAAGAGATTCTGAAAGAGTAACACTTGAAGCTGATGCAAATAGAGGGGCTTCTTCAAGGGAAAGTGACAATGAAGAAAATAGTATGGACAAGAAAGAACTCAGTCTCACTAAAGAAAAGCAGACTTTTCTTGAAGAAAGCTTTAAGGAACAAAGCACTCTCAACCCAGTAAGTATATATACTATGATGTTTTCTCATTTCTTTTGTTGTGAACTATGATGTTGTGTCCATTACGACTTGGGTTCCAGATTAAACGGTCCAAGCCCTTATGTGTTATTTTGATTATTACTTGAAAGGCTAAAATTTCTTTATTCAAGATTCCACCGACTATGTGTGTGACAATTTGTTTATATGAGTAATACTTTTATTGAGGCTAATGTTTATTTTGGTCAACAGAGTAATTCATTATGATTTTTTGAGTTGGAAAATTTATTTAAAAATCATCTTTTCGAGTTCTTGTCTATAAGGGATGTATAGNTTTTTGAAATACCGTTGTGATTTTTGTTGCTTGTGTGCCACTTTCATTTCTCATTTTCACATGTTTTATATTTTCCAATTTGTAATTTCTGGGGAGACTTATGTTGAATATCTCCTTTATTGCCTCTTTCCTATAATAAACAAACGTTACAAATCTTTTGAGAAGATTTCAGGGGGTATTTCTGTTCTATAGAGCTAAAACTATTAACCAACAAGAGAAATCAGAGTTTAAGCTGCAAACATTATGAGTTTGAACCAAGAATAAGAATGAGATGGTTTGGATGTCTTCTTATTCTTTCCTTGGTTTGACATAGAAGAAATCTCAGACCTTGAGAGTCAATTAGTTTAGATTTAACGATCAATTTAGCTTATGATTTGTTTTTAGTAACTCTTCTGTAGTTAGCCGTCATTTCATCAAACATACTAGATCACCATGAATTGTAAAGAATGGTTTATGTTCTTAATTACAGCAGAGTCACTTGCATTGGTTACTTCTGCATTTGCAAGTTGTTGACCTTGTTTTCATGGCTTACTACAATGTAGAATTCACATTTCTTGGGGCTATCTTCTGTTTCTTTTAATGTAGGGACTAATCTTGGTTTTTCATTCTCTATTGTTCCATTTTGCTTTATCGATACTTGGTGCTAAATAGATTTAATGGCAACAATTATTGTGTATCCTCGATGAGGTAAAGTATGAAGAGCAGGCGCAAAATCAATGTCTCCTGAGATAAGTAAAATTGTTGCAGGCCTGCGATAATCTAGTGCAAATAGAAACATGTCAACCAAAATCGCCTTGTCGGCAGCATCCTTCCTCCCATTCGGAACGTGTACAAGATTCACACCTGTCCTGTGATAGGCCTCTGTTAGTCGTCTCGGAGAAGAGCTAAAATCTCCGTATGCTGATAACTTTTTTACCGGTCCATTAATTGCCGGATGAGCTCCTAAAGCCAGCTCAATGTTCCCAGCAACATCTTCTGGACTTATATTTCTTGGTTTGGGACAGTTCTCAATGCCCCAAAGAATGGCTACGGGATCCTATATTGATAAAATAAAATTTTATAATAAATAAAATTTGGTTTTTATTTATTGCTTTTAAATTTTTGTCAATATAGGATCTTGTAGTCATTCTTTGGGGCATTGAGAATTGTCCCAAACCAAGAAATGTACGTCTGGAAAATGTTGCTGGGAACATTGAGCTGGCTTTAGGAGCTCATCCAGCAATTAATGGACCGGTGAAAAAATTATCAGCATACGGAGATTTTAGCTCTTCTCCGAGGCGACTAACAGAGGCCTATCACAGGACAGGTGTGAATCTTGTAAACGTTCCGAATGGGAGGAAGGATGTTGCCGACAAGGCGATTTTGGTTGACATGTTTCTATTTGCACTGGATTATCGCAGGCCTGCAACAATTTTACTTATCTTAGGAGACATTGATTTTGCACCTGCTCTTCATACTTTACGTCATCGGGGATACACAATAATTGTTGCCATTCCGTCTTGGGTGAAAGTCTCATCCACCATGAGGAACGCAGGCAACTACCTATGGGATTGGTCTAGTGTGGCCCGTGTGGAAAGGATTGTGCCCCAGGGCAAAACAGCAATACCTCAT